AGCTTGAGGCCCCTAGGGCTTCCTCGAAGCTACAACATTAAGTGTGGCAGGGTCGAACGTCATCTCGAGCTCTGTAAAACACAAAACCAAATAGACATATTAGTTGCCCGAAGATATCATCAATGCAAATAAAAACATGTTAGTTGCCCGAAGACTATGCTTCCCTACCCTCGAGGCCTTTCACATTAGCAAGGTCAAGGATATTGTCACCGAGGAGGTGATCCAAGTCATAGGCCAAAGGCTCGAGGTCCTCCAACCTTTGTCGATCCTTCTCAAGCACTTCGAAATATGCTTGCCCCTCATTGAACCGAGTAGTATCAGGGATCGTCCACCTAGGGCTGAAAGGATGGTCGGGATCCTGAGGAGCTATAAAAAAGAACCTCGTATTCCACCCCTTGAGAGAGATCGACATCTTAGGAATTCTAAATCTACCCTGGGTCGATAAATACACAAAAGAGTTGAAACTTGGAAGAAACTTAAACTCGAAGACCATTCTTAAAAGGTCGAACCTCGGGTTTATCACAAGTACCCGGCAAGCTATAAAAAAATAGGTTATTATCCTCCACCCGTTCGGTACGAGTTGCCCAGGGCACATATTATGCTCGACCAAGAACTCCACAAAAAATAGGTGAAGGGGCTACCTCATTCCCCTTTAAGGGCATATTTGAAAATGATTCTCCCATTCCCGTGCACTCGTAACCCTATCCTCGAGTCTTGGGGGCCCTAATGTTACACAAAGGCATCAAGCCATACTCCCTCCTGATCTTGACAACCTCGTGCTCTTTATACCTACATCGGAGGTCGAGGACATTAACGACCGACATATTATCTAAGGGGATGGCCATTGGTACTATAGAATGCCCTACATCGTCGGAGGACGGGCTAGACCCCGAGGAACCCTTACTAGACATTTCTTAGGAAAGAAAGCTTAGAAGCTTAAATTATCTAAAAGTCACGAGGTCTTACCTTAAGACTAAACCCGAAGATGTTAGACGATGGTTGAGAGAGTGAAAAGTGAAATGATGTAGGGTAGGAGGGTATTTATATGAGGATGAAGAAGTCAAAAGGTCTCCTAATCTCGACTATGACACGTGGCCACCATTCAACAAAAGTGGCTTTTAGCTCAAATATTGAGGCCACTTGGCAGCCTCCCATTTTTTAACCCATATTTATTCCGAACTTAACCAAAGGCTGATCATGCCTTTTCACAAGGCTGATCATGCATTTCCACAAGTCTGATTGTGCATTCTTCACAAGGCTAATCATGTTTTTCCATGGTCTGATTGTGCTTTTTCACAATGCTGATCATGCCTTTTCACAAGGCTGACCATGCATGTCCATGGGCTGATCATGCCTTTTCACAAGGCTGATCATTC